TTGTCGCCTTAACTCGCTTGTGTGACAGAGAATATAATTTGAAGGCGACAACACGACGCGACCACAAAAGCCTTAAGGGGAGGCCGAACCGGTCTGTCTTCATCTTTATTCTAAAGACTTTTCATTGTATTTTATATTGGCTGCAGGGCGTTCATGAGTCGACAAAAATTTCACTAAGTTTAAGCACACACTCTAGCAATTTATGGAATAGTTTATTCTGTAAACGAGTTTATTGTAATTTTAAAATGTATGTTCCTTTTTAGTTCGGCTTGATCGTGTGTGCAACAGTACAGAAAACGCAATAGTAGACCAACTTCGATTGCATAACCAATTCTTAATTTCAAGAAGGAGGTCACAATATTTAGATTTGGAAACGCCCCGAAGGTGATGCTTTCGACAAGTGTCATTTATGTAATGTTTAAAAAACGAGCAGGAGTGTTTTATCGGGTTTAAAACCACGAGGCGTAGCCGAGTGGTTTTAGACCCGATGAAACACGTGCTGCGAGTTTTTTGAACGGCTTCAAAAACATTCTTGGAAAAGCGTGTGTCAAGAGAGTTCATAACAATTATGCTTTTGTGAACGTTAGAAATTAGCATACGAGAAAAACATTAATTGATATTCATAAGTCACTTGCAGTGTCTTTCTATCTGATAAAACACTGCATACTAATAAGGATGAGGTTTATCGATATAAAGTCATTGCACGTGATGTATTATCTACCATTTGATAGGTTAATGGGCTTATGAATTATTAATGAGTTTTTGAAGAATAATAGAGACGTATCTTACAGTTCCTTGTGAGTTACTTTAAAAGAGGATGCAAAAAATTTTTGTTACACATCAAAAGGAATCCTTGGTCAGATTGTCGCCTTTCTGAATTCTCTAGAACAATGAATTTTGCACTCGTGGTTCCAATACTGCTAGAGCTTTTTCTTGCCATCGACGCATGTACCGAGATCCGAGTGACCGCCGAGGACAAAACGGTCGTTGTCGGACGAAGCATGGAGTTTATGATCGATCTCATGTCGTACATCGTGGTGGAGCCCAAGGATTACCCCCACACTGCAGAACTACCAAAGACTTGTTCCCGTAGTTCATCAGCAATTACGTGGACCAACAGCTACAAGATCGCATACCTTGACGCTTTGAGCTCGCCTTTTAGCTGTGACGGCCAAAATGACGCTGGACTCTCCGTGGGTGCACTCCTCCTTCATGGTTTTTCCAAGTATCAGACTGTCCCCAAAGATAAGTGTGGCTCGGCCATTTCCAACTTGGAGTTTACGGCATGGATTCTGGGCAACTTTGCAACTACTGAAGAGGTGCGAAGGGCTTGGAGAAAGGACTCATTCCCACTTATGTGGGAGCAACCTCTGAAAGGGAACACCTTTGAACTACACTGGTCCATCACTGACAAAAGTGGTGACGGCATCATTATTGAGTACACCGAACAGGGACCAAAGCTGCACGAAAATACAATTGGTGTCGTGACCAACTCTCCACCCTATGACTTCCACATGCTGAACCTCCGCAATTACGTCCATCTTTCTAAGTTCGCTCATGATCCTTTGGTATTGGGTGAAACAACGTTTCCACCCACTGGCCAAGGAAGTGGACTTCTTGGTGTTCCAGGAGATTTCACTCCCCCGTCGAGACTGGTACGATCTGCAGCCATGGTGCACTTTGCTGATACAGCCAAGAGAAGTGATGAGGCGGTAAATTTGGCTTTGCACATCATGAACACTGTTGATATTCCTCACGGAGTCGCTGCATCCCATGATCATGAAAGTATGGCCGACTACACTTCTTGGATTGTGGTCAAGGACCTCACCAACAAGGCAATGTACTTTCGCAATTATGAAGATCTCACCGTCCGTGTGATTCATCTCGACAAAGTGACCCCTGGCAAGAAGTTGAAAATCAAAGTTGGAACTCCTATTGGTGGGTTTGTGGATGTCACAGGAGATCTTCAGGATGCTCAAGCCCATACTGAACTTTAAGAAACAGAACTGTTTTTCTGCTTGTTGCCAATGTTTTCCCCTCAATATAGAGAGAAATAATTCCTATTAATTCTGATGGTAGCCTTTCGTGTACGTTCTTATGGTAATTTTTTTAAAACTATCTACAATTTGTGTACGTTCATTAAGGACCTCGCCTGAGGCAATCCTCAGGAAGTCTGTAAGAGATTATTATTGTCGTTTAAGTAAAGGTCTTGACAATTCTTGAGAAATGAAGCAGTTTTGTTACCATTTTGATTGTGTACGCCATTCCCCAAACAAAAATTATCTTTTACGTGGAAAAATGCAGCAGGAGTAAGTGTAAATGTTTCTTTTCAAGCTAGAAACTCGATTCCCAGGTTGATACACATGCATGCGATAAACACCAAACCAATGAAGGATATTTTCCTATTCCTTGGGGCGTTGTTATATCGAAGCGGTCAACTAAAATCATTACGTGAAGAAATTATGTAAGTATTGTGATCATAGCTTAAGAATAATCTCGATTTTGGAACTTATGACTAATCCTGAACCTCTCACTATATCGCCTTTTTTAACAGGAAAAGACTATTTTGTAGAAGATGAGAAGCGATAGCTAGCGCAAGGTTTCGAAAACCTTACTGTTTCTTTTAGCATTTTTGTTTTGTTGATGTTTTTGAAGATGGGATTCTGCACGCGATTTGTACCGAAGCAAACGGCTCGTTTGGTGATAGGTTGACTCAACTATGGCTGAGCCTACACGGTGTCCCCATACTGGTTGACTCAACTATGACTGAGCCTACACGGTGTCCCCATACTGAACTCTATAAATACTAATTTATGTCAGACATTTTGGCGAATAACTCCTCAGCGGAAAACCCCACGGACCTATTGTGAGAAAAGCTTCCTCTCTAAGCGTCAGGCATGCAATAGTTTTGATTTTTGATTTCGATTGCGTGACGAATGGTTAGATCGTGTGAGGTCTAGAACGAGTGGAAGGGGAGGGTTGTGCTTAACACTGGCAATAGTAACGAGTTTCCGAGTCGGGTGATTATCGGAAATTGTCGGCTATTGCCGAATATGGCGCACTATTCCGGTAATACCATTTGCGATTTACCAAAAGTCAAGCGACGTGATTGAACCAGACATGAACATTATAACATACTTTACATGTGAAGTATACATTGTTGAGTTTAAATCAAGAAAATTTCGCTAAATTTTGTATGGCTGTTTCCTTCACCCTCGTCGATCGTAAGTTTCTTGTTCAGCAGAGTTTTCGCTTAACACTGCAGCCGCTAAGACCTGCGCTTGCAAAGGTAAACAAAACTTTTGAATATTACCGCCACTATAATGCCCTTGTCATGGTGCTACTAGTAACTCCACTCTCCCTGCTTAAGTACGCATACTAAGTCGGTTAACCCCGAAGAGCTTTCGAAAGATATGCATGTAGCAATAGTTACGGGAGACATCGAATGTACACATCGGGGAATGCAAAAGACCGCATCGTGCTCAACTTCAGACAATTCATGAATTCCAGAAAACGGGTAATCATCTGAGCAGTGAATCGCAGAGCAAAGTTAGGGAATTCGCCATAACTGTGAACGTCAAGCACAGACCAATATATGCATTGCACTATATTGAACCAGACATGAACATTATAACATGATTTACATGTGAAGAATACATTGTTGAGTTTAAATCAAGGAAATTTCGCTAAATTTTGAATGGCTATTTCCTTCACCCTCGTCGATCTTAAGTTTCTTGTTTAGCTGAGTTTTAGCTTAACACTGCAGCTACAAGGACCTGCGCTTGCAAAGATGAACAAAACTCATGAATAGCACCTTGTTATAGTGCTACTGATTGTAAAGATCCCCAAGATGAAATTGCTATCGTCTTGTACCTCTAGCCGGTAGGATCTCAGGAGGCTTAGAAAATGCTACCGGCTAGAGGTACAGCTTGCATATTTAGTCAACTTTGCTCAATTGTTTCTACGGTTTGCTTCGCATTGTGCTTTTTCTGCAATCCACATTAGTCTTTCACTCCTTTGAATCACTTTTTTCAAGAATACGTATACATTTATTTATTTTTATTTGGTCTTATACCTCTAGCTGGTAGGATCTGAAGGGGTTTATAAAGTACTACCGCTTAGAGGTACAGCTTGCATACTTAGTGGACTTTGCCCGATTTTTATTACGGTTTGCTCCACATTTGACTTTTCTGTACTCCAAATTAGGCTTACACTCCTTGGAATCTTTTTTACAAGAGTACATTTACATTTATTTTTTTATTTGGTCCTGTACCTCTAGCTGGTAGGATCTTGAGAGGCTTAGAATATACAATCCGCTAGAGGTACCTGCATATTTAATTGACTTTGCCACAGCTTACTTTGAATTTTTTACTTTTTGGCATTCCATCTAGTCTTACACTACACTAGAATCATTTTTTTCATGAATATCATGTTTCTTGGTCGTGTACCTCCAGCCTGTAGGATCTTAAGTGGCTTAGAAAATACTACAGGTTGGAGATACTTTTTGCTTTTAAGGTGAACTTAGCTCATTTCATTTACTACTTAATTTATGGAAAAACCTTTCTATATTCCATGTTAGTCTAATACTGTTAATATCACGCAATAAAGACAACCGAATACAGTTCGTGGGCCGTCGATGGGCAGCTACATATATTTTCCATTTGGGAGAAATACAACTGCCAAGGGGGGGGAGGGTTGGGATTACAAAAACAAAACTACGGAGCGATAACGTGAACAGAACGAACGATCAAACAAACGCGTGCCGAGATATGAAACGCGATCCTATTTACAATTCACGCTAACTATTAACTTCTATTAACCTATTAATACCACTTAATATCACGCAATAAAGACAACCGAATACAGTTCGTGGGCCGTCGATGGGCAGCTACATATATTTTCCATTTGGGAGAAATACAACTGCCCAAATAATGGCCCAAATGGAGAGGGAGTAAAACAAATATAGTATATAGAGAGGAAACTAAAACGAGTATCTGTCACTAGTAATCCTGAGTGTTCTGGTAGTATGGATTGGCATACTGATAAGTTATAGAAGCAGTCTTAGCTATTCTCTGAGGAAACTGGAGTAGCACATTTAGGGGGGAACGAACATACGTTTTGTAACAGTCTGATTTCCAGCGTCCGAGCATTTGAATCTCGTAATCTTTAAGTCCAGCCAGAGACGCAGAGGTGGCTCCACCGATCCTAAAACTGTGCCCGCTGTAGGCTGTAGGATCAATGCCAACTAGTCGCAACAAATGAGACACAAATGTTACTAGGTGTTGACGAGTTAAGACTTGCTGATGCTCGAGCAGGAACAGTGGTGAATCTTTGGGCTTTCGTGGCTGACTTTGTTGAAGAGCGACGTTAGACTTCATTGCGCAGGCTGGGCAGACGACATGGTTTGTATGCGACATATACAACGTTACCCCTTCGCGCCGTTGGTCTGTTTTAGACTGTTTAAGTCGCACCGTCCAGTAGTGCTCCCCGGTCGGAGACTGGTGAGAATTGACGTCGCTGAGTGTGAGATGCCGAGAGGGGTCGAAGGGTTCGTTGCCGTTTACAGTAAACTCGCTTGCTCGTAAGAGTAAGAAATGACCACAGGTGATTGCTGACCAGAAGACGATATCGTTACTAGAGAGAAAATTCACAAAAGGATGGATCTTGCATAAGAGATCAAAGGTGATAGGCATTTTTTGCTTCGGTGAAGTGAAATGTTTCCGTTCGATACCACGCAGAGTTTGTTTTAGCCGTAGACCAGGAAGTAGTGGATTGCTGTAGCCATTAGCAACATGAAGAGAGCGAATACCGGCCAGGTAAACACTAATGGATTGAGGTTTTATGCGCGCTGCAAGATGCATAACAAACAAGATGAGCGTGTCCTCTGATGCCGGCAAGGGGCTCAGGCCGTACGTGTCACAGAAGCTGAGAAACTGTCGTTGAGCTGCGGTGTAGGTTCGATGAGTAGAGTCCGCGAGGCCAGAGCGAAAGTACTCCTGAGCATTTACTTGAAGTTGGTCAAAGGAACACGTGGTACGAACGTGGGATGTTCGCTGGCTGCTGGGCAGAGGCGGTGGAACTTGGACACCTGTAAACGAGAAAGACAGTCAGCAAAACAGTTCGACACACCAGGGATGTGAATCGCGCGTAGTAGAATGTTGTAGTAATCGCAAACATAGAACAAATAACGCAGCATAGACATGATATGTTTACAACGACTTGTGCCAGACGAAAGAATGTGTACAACCGACTGATTGTCGCAATGAAACATCACGTTATGAGAGGCCAGTGAAGGGGCCCAGGCTGATACCGCTGCAGTAATTGCATAAAGTTCCTTGAAGGTGATGGATCTGGAGAGGGGAATGCGGTGAGCGGAAAACGAACAGGAAAACCATTCGCCAGCGAAGTATGCTCCAAAGGCTGCGTGGCTGGCGTCAGTAAAAAGGTCCAAGGAAGAATTGGGTAGCCATGTGTCTTGATAAAAGAAGCTACAGCCGTTCCACGAGGTAAGAAAGGTTTGCCACCAGTGAATGTCCTTACGGAATGCGACGGTGAGACGGATACGATGTGAAGGGTGGCTAGCTTTGCTGAGTAGATCGATCAGGCGACGAACGAAAGTTCTTCCAGGGCGACATACAGACGAAATGAAGTGAAGCTTTCCAATCAACGATTGTAGCTGACGCTTCGTACAGTGTTTACGTGATGACCACTTGTCCAACATATGCAATACTTCGGCTAGTCTGGTTTGATCAATTCTTGCTTCCTGAGCGAGAGAATCTAATTCAATTCCGAGAAGAATCAAGTTTGTTGTCGGCAGGACTGTCTTTGCCGGGTTCGTAGTGAAGCCGAGATGCTCACATGTTCCCAACATAAGATCGAGCGAGGTCCGGCAATGTGGATTCGGGGAAGGTGGTCCACAAGTCCAGAAGTCGTCAAGATAGTTCCAAATGGGGGAGGCTCCCCTAGACGAAATGAAAAACTTGAGGCCCTCCACGAATTTTAGAAAAAGGGCTGGCGAACTTCGAAGACCAAAGGGAAGGAAGGTGTCTATAAAATAACCGGGCACAACAGTACCATCGATCTCCACAGGCCAGGTAGATCCAAGAAGTTCCCAGTCCTGTGCGTTAACCAGAATGTGGCGAAATGCATCAGAGAGATCCAGTTTACTCATTAGAGCACCAGTTCCAAATTGCCTGAGTAGTGTGATTGCGCGGTCGAGCGAATCGTAAGTGCATGTAAACAAATCCTTGGGGATACCGTCATTAACTGAAAGGCCAGCGGGCCACGATAAATCATGTATTATACGCCACTTGACAGGCGCTGAGTGCTTCTTAGGAATCGCACCCAAAGGTGAACCAGTGAAATTCTCAAAGGGCGGGGTAAGAAACGGTCCAACTTTACGGTTAAGGTCAAGTTCACGTTCGATCTCCCTGGCCACGGGCTCAGGGTTGAGGATCGCGGATAAATGATTGGTGTGTATTTGGTAATCACGGGAAACGGGTTGATAACCAATGCGTACTCCAAATTCAATGTCATGTAATAAATCATTTACGAAATCAGTGTCCGGGTGTGCCCACAGACATGAGCGCCACATCTGCGGGTTGAATGGCGATTTAATTTCCGGCAGGGCCTGGGCAATCGGCCTTGGGGTGGTCCCCCCTACAAGCTTTGCAAACGTGGGCTCGTTTACAGGCGTCGCCGAGATTGCACCGTTTTCGCTGGTACAGGTTGCAGCCCTCCTGTCCTGTAGCAGTGAACCACTTGTCGAATTTCCATGAGTCAGGCGCGTTCGCTCCGGAGAACTGTGAGCGGGTGCCCGCGGGTTTTGCCGCTTCTTGAGGCTTCTCCTGCGCGAAAAAGGGACAATCCCGAACAAGATGATCGAAGGACTTGCAACGTGTACACTGCTTTGGGTGGGCGCGGAGAGCGGAGGCGTCAAGGATGATGGTGTAAAGTGTGGTGTCTAAGACATCGAGACGGATATCGTTGCGCGAGGCCGCCCGTGTGCGAGTCTGTACATCGAACATGTACACGCAAGGCCAACGAAATTTGCGGTTGGCGAGTTGAATTTGTTCTCGATACGCTGCCAGCTCCAAATAGCGCTCTGGTTGTGCTGAAACAATTTCCATTTCGTATTTGGTCCACACTTGGAGCCATAAATCGAAGGAATCGACGAGGCGCTTGCGTTGTGGCCTGGAGATAGCGATCAGGTCACCGGAAATCGAGCGCAACATCCCTTCGTCGCTCGGGCTTGATCGCAAAACACTTAGGGCAGATAAAACGTCAGAGAAATCCACGTACTCACCATTTACGGCAGCTGGGGCGAATTCCTCAGGTAAATGATGGGGTTTGGAGGCACCGCTAACGGACGGCAAGTTATCAGGACCACTTGGATGACTAGCCTCGTTAACTGATTTGGGGGCGTTCCCGACGGAGATTTCCTCCATGCGCTTCTTCATCGTTGTCTGCTCTTTTGCGAGGCCTTCCAGCTGCAGAGACAGGTTTCGCATGGCTTCAAGAAGGTGCTGCGACTGATCCTGCTCCTGTGTCCCGTTGAAGGGCTGAGTAGTGGAATCAACTTGACATGGCGGCGATGTCGCGTGCTCTGATAATTCTTGTGCTGCATAACTTTCTTGGGTTAAGGACGGTCCAGCGCAGTACTTGCCTGGAAAACCGAAGGTATGATCCTTCTTCGGCGTTTTGCAACCGGGGCAGAGCAAAGAGCGTTTGGGTTTGCTCATAATAGCGAAGAAATTACAAAAACAAAACTACGGAGCGATAACGTGAACAGAACGAACGATCAAACAAACGCGTGCCGAGATATGAAACGCGATCCTATTTACAATTCACGCTAACTATTAACTTCTATTAACCTATTAATACCACTTGTAGAGTCACTCCATAGGTATATTTTTATGCTTTGCAGTCTTGTTCATTTGCCTAGTAGGATCTTGGATTACTTAGAAAACACCACCAGCCAAAGGGGCAGCCTATGTATGCGAAGTAAGCTTGAAATCATTAATAATGTTATGTTTTAAATGAATTTCAAGTAATAAACTAGCCTGATTTGTATTTTCTTCAGTTGTGGATTTATTTTAATACAAATATAACCAGTTTCAGATGAATTTGACTTGAAATTCATTTTGAGACTTGAAAATGTCAACCAGATTTACTAAAGTTTGTCATGGGATACTCTGCCTAAGTATGAGTGGAATTTCTTAGAAAGGAACAGTCTCTATTTTAATGATACTTGTTTTTGATTAGAAGTATTGTCAACAAAGTCAACCATTGTCTGAAATACTAGAATCAAGTTATCTCTAGGAAGTTATAGGATAACATGGTTTTAATTCACCAAATTGACATTTTCCCTGTGTATTAACAGCATGTATGACTGTGTGAAAACCTTTAGGCAAGTTAAAGAGTCATTTGATGCTCATAACTTGTGTGCTGTGCTGTGCTATCAAATAAGCAGTAGTAGGTACACGACCAAGGAAAAAGAAGCTATTCTTGAAAAAAAAAGATTCCAATGTCGTTTAAGACTAAAATGGAATGCCAAAAAGTAAAATGCAAAGCAGACTGTAATAAAATTGGGCAAAGGCAATTAAACATGCAAGCTGTACTTCGAGTATTTTCTAAGCCTTCTAAGATCCTACTAGCTGCATATTCTACGCCCCCTAAGATCCTACCAGTTAGAGGTTCAAGACGAAATAAAAATGAATAAATGTATACGTATTCTTGAAAAAAGTGATTCAAAGCAGTGGAAGACTAATGTGGAGTGCAGAAAAAGTAAAATGCGAAGCAAACCGTTGTAACAATTGGGCAAAGTTGACTACATATGTAAGCTGTACCTCTAGCCGGTAGTATTTTCTAAGCCTTCTGAGATCCTATCGGCTAGAGGTACAAGACAATAGAAATGTCATCTTGGAGATCTTTCCCAACCAGTAGCACTATGACAAAGGCATTATAGTGGCGATACTATTCCTAAGTTTTGTTTACCTTTGCAAGCGTAGCTACAGTGTTAAGCTGAGACTCTGCTGAACTAGAAACTTAAGATCGACGAGGGCGAAGGAAACAGCCACACAAAATTTAGCGAAATTTCCTTGATTTAAACTCAACAATGTATTCCTCACATGTAAAGCATGTAGTGCCTGAGCGTAATCTCGGGTAATAAATCCGCTATTCTGGATTAGTAAAACTGAGGAGAGCCTGGAACAAAGAAACTATCACAAGCACTTCCCTCCCTTCCCCTCCCACTTATTCCAGACCTCACGCGACCTTACCAGCCGTAACGCAATCAAAATCTAAAATCAAAACTATTGCGTGCCTGACGCCAAGAAAGGGAGCTTTTCTCACAACAGGTCTGTGGGGTTTTCCGCTGACGAGGTATTCGCCAAAATGACTGACATAAATTGATATTTATAGAGTTCAGTATAGGGACGCCATGTAGGTTCAGTCATAATTGAGTTCACTATCAATATTCTGGTTTGGCTAAACTACAGAATACAAGGTCATTTTTAACTTTCACCAAACGTGCCGGTTTCTTTGGCTCGTTCGTTTCGGAACAAATCGCGTACAAAACTCCATTTTCGACAAAAAAAATGCTAAAAAAAAATCAAGGTTTTCAAAACCTTCTTAAACCAGTTATTTCTCAATTTCTGCAAAATAGTCTCTTCATGTTATACAAGGCAATATGGTGAGAAGTCCAGGGTTGGCTGATTCTAGATTATTTTGCGCATCTTCGCACACATTTAATCTTTTCAAATTTGTTTACAAAAAACGTTCCCTATACTTTTATGAGGGTTTTCCGGAACATTCAGGCCCCAAGAGAACAAAGGAACAAGAACAAAGGGCTCCCCAAACTCTAAGACACTCTTCCCTTTATCTTTTCCCCTTTACGTACTCCTGTTGTATTTTTCCAGGTAAAAGGTAATTTTTGTCAGAGAATGTCGTACACAATCAAAATGCTAACAAGAGTGCTTTATTTCTCAAGAATTGTCAAGACCTTCACTTAAACGACAATAATAACGTTTTAAAGACTACTCGAGGATTGCCTCGTGTGAGATCTTCAAAAGGCATGCACAAATTGTAGATAGTTTAAAAAAATTACCATAAGAACGTACTCGAAAAGCTACCACCAGCATTAATAGAAGTAATTTCTCTCTATATTGACGGGAAAACATTGGCAACAAGCAGTGAAACAGTTCTGTTACTTAGAGTTCAGTATGCGCTTGAGCACCCTGAAGATCTCCTGTGACATCCACAAACCCACCAATAGTAGGGCTTCCAACTTTGATTTTCAACTTCATGCCAGAGGTCACTTTGTCGAGATGAATCACGCGGATGGTGAGATCTTCATAACTGCGATAGTACATTGCCTTGTTGGTGAGGTCCTTGACCACAATCCAAGAAGTGTAGTCGGCCATATCTTCATGATCATGGGATGCAGCGACTCCGCGAGGAATATCAACAGTGTTCATGATGTGAAAAGCCAAATTTACCGCCTCATCACTTTTCTTAGTTTTATCAGCAAAGTGCACCATGGCTGCAGATCGTACCAGTCTCGATGGAGGAGTGAGATCTCCTGGGACACCAAGAAGTCCATTTCCTTGGCCAGTGGCTGGGAACGTTGTTTCACCTAATACCAAAGGATCATGAGCGAACTTGGAAAGATGGACGTAATTGCGGAGGTTCAGCATGTGGAAGTCATAGGGTGGAGAGTTGGTCATGACACCAATTGTATTTTCGTGCAGCTTTGGTCCCTGTTCGGAGTACTCAATAACGATGCCGTCACCACTTTTGTCAGTGATGGACCAGTGCAGTTCAAAGGTGTTCCCTTTCAGAGGTTGCTCCCACACAAGTGGGAATGAGTCCTTTCTCCAAGCTCTTCTCACCTCTTCAACAGTTCCGAAGTTGCCCAGAATCCATATCGCAAAATTCAAGTTGGAAATGGCCGAGCCACACTTGTCTTTGGGGACGGTCTGATATTTGGAAAAAAGAGGAAAGAGGAGTGAACCCACGGAGAGTCCAGCATCATTTTGGCCGTCAGCACCGGCTATAGGCGAGTCCAAACCGTTTAGGTATGCGATCTTGTAGCTGTTGTTCCAGGTCATGGCTGGTGAACTACGGGAACAAGTCTTTGGTAGTTCAGCAGTGTGGGGATAATCCTTGGGCTCCACTATGATGTCCGACATGAGATCTATCATAAACTCCATGCTTCGTGCGACTACGACCGTTTTATCCTCGGCGGTCACTCGGATCTCGGTACATGCGTCCGTGGCAAGAAAAAGCTTGAGCAGTATTGGAACCACAAGTGCAAACTTCATCGTTCTAGAGAATTCAGAAAGGCGACAATCTGACCAACGATACCTTTCGATGTGTGACAAAAATGTTTGGCCTCTTCTTTTATAGTGACTCTCGAGGAACTGTCAGACACGTGTCTATTATTCATAAATCACACTTGTCAAAAGCATCACGTTCGGGGCGTTTCCCACTTGAAATATCATTATCTCCTTCCAGAAATTGTATCCTGGTCATCAAACTCGAAGTCTCTCTACTATGACGTTTTCTGTACTGTTGCACACACGATCAGGCCAA